GGAGGAAAGAATGTTGCAGACACAGGCCAAGAAGATACTGAACAGACAGCCTTCCTGGGTTTCTATTAGTATCGGATCATGCCCTTTTTATCCAATCACATTTCTACATGATGGTCAATCACAGCTACCCAATAAAGTCCCCATAAAAGCCCAAGAAGGTGGGGTACCAAGGGCTTCTGGATTAGCTGAACACATGGAGGCTCCTGGAGGGTGGCATGCACAGGAAGGGCATGGAGGTCCCATGCCCCTTCCCTCATACCTCGCCCTGTGCATCTCTTCATCTGTATCTTTTACGATATCCTTTATAATAAACCAGTTTACAAAAGTGTTTTCCTGAGTTCTATAAGCCACTCTAGCAAACTAGTCAAACCTAACAAGGGGATTGTGGGAAAACCGATTGATAGTGAGTCAGTCAGAACCACAGGTAAAACAATCTGGGGCTTATGGCTGCAATCGGAAGTCTGACGATCTGTGGGACTGAGCCCTCGACCTAGAGGATCTGATGCTATTTCCAGGTAGATGATGTCAGGATTGAATTGGAGAACACCCAGCTGAGTCCACTGCAGAATTGATTGATTGCTTAATAATGGGGACAAATGACTATTCACGTGGTCATAGAAGTCTGTGTTGATTGTTGTGCTGTGGCCAACAGTTTGTGTTTTCTCCACTCAGATTTTTCTAGGAAATTGAAGCTGACCTCTCTCTTATGTCTCCTTCATCAGAGAGGAGAGCTTTCGTGCCAGATGACATCAGCTATAGATCATAAAGGAAGTTACATTTTTTTCTGCACATTGGAAGAACTCTCGAAAATAGGTGGGGATTTAAAACCATCACTGCAGAACTCAGGTGTGTAGAATGCTTATTTCTGGCAATAAAACACTTTAAGTTTTGTAACATTGAATTTTAAAATCTTTATACCTTTAAAAAGTCCCTGTATAGTACTATTATCTCTCTAAGGTCACTTCCACTCAATATTATCAATTTCTTTCCAAAGGAGCAATTAGTGGCAGAAAAGATGTGGGTCCTAGAGATTTGTTTCTGAAACCGGACAAGGGGACAAGGGGTCAGCTGAGTTCATTCAAAACGGAAAGCATATTCTACCAGATTCTCACTGGGGTAAACAGCACATATTCCTTAAGGTCAAGCAAGTACGGAATCTCAAGCGTGAATAATTAATAAGGATGTACAAGATGTCAGGACTCACATTCCCAGGATTTGCTAAGATACAGATAAATTGGAATCTGACATAAACAAATTGTGTTTAATAACCCTTAAAAACGTGATCCCTGAAGCATTCTGCACTGCTTGAGTTGCCCCTTATCCAACTTCTTCTATCTTAATTTATAGTTGACAAAGACTGGTAAGAAAAAAGTGCTTGAACATAAGCAATAAAATCAGTTACAAAACCACTTACTTTATCACATATTTAATGTGCTTTCCTACCACTTTTTTTTTTGTAACTTTCTAATCTCTCTATTTAGGGAAGACACATAAAGTATCATTTAATTTCAGCTGAGAAAGCATCTTCCAGCGCCAACCCTGGCATCAGCATCATGGAATGAATCATCCTTGCTAACTTTCTTGCTTAAGTGAAAGAGTTGGGTGATGGAAACCAGCCTCCCATACCAGAAAAATAAAGTGCCCTCTGAGTCCTCAAAAGCAGAAATTCCCAAGACAAGGCATAGTTCTTCCAAGGGCAAAATTATGAGGCCAAGGATAAATTATATTGTTACATAATTTTGTATTCCTCCAAGATTTTATTCACCATTTTTTCTTGGGGTGGGGGGAATCTTCAAACTGCTTAATTAGTGCCTGGCAAATATTATTCATATGCCTTTCTCACAATGTCCAAATATGGTCTTTCTTCAAGAATAGATATTTCTGGTTAGGGCTTAACTGTACATGTCTCACAACTAAAGAAAAAACATAAGTCCCCTAAGTTACTCCAAAGGAATATAATACAAATAATCCCCATACATCCAGCCAAAAGGAAAGCATTCCCAGAACTCAAGGTAGCATTCTAATTTAAGTAGGTCCAAATTTTTTCAGCAACTCTATAATTCCACCTGGAGTTAAATGATGTCTTTGCTGTGTGTCTTTCACACTGCAGTGTGTGCCTATGTATAACAAAATAATACTAAGAACACATTTCTCCAGAGACTTAACACAACATCCGAAAATGTATACATATTCCTTTTTTTAATCTCAAGTAATTTGCTTGATATTAAGAATAACAATGGGACTAAAAGTAGGCGTGGGAAGAAGGAGAAAATACATTTACAAGTTATCAACCACTGAGTACAAATACTACATTAAAAATTAATATTTCCTGATAAAGTTGCAACTTCCAATCACTGAGAAAAGGATGCATTATTTACTAAATGGTGTTGGAATAAACTACAATCATTTGTATGACAAATTAAAAGAGTTCATATATTATACAGCACCAAAATAAATTTCATATGAATTACATATTTAAATATAAAAAATAAAACCATAAAATATAAACAGAAAATAGGAGTGCTGATTTATGAAACCATGTGTGGAGAAGGCTTTTATAAGGATTGTGCCAAAAGCAGAAACCATTAAAAAATATATTATTAAATTTGATCCATAAAATTCAGAACTTATGTATATTAAAGATCCACTGTCAATAAAAGCAATATGGAACATTTAGGAAAAAATATTTCCAATTTACGATAGAAACAGAATTGACGTACCAAAATTCTCTCACAAACAAATTAGAAAAACAAAAAGCTAGCAGAAAAAAATTGCCAATAGAATGAAAAAGCACTTCACAAAAACTAAAATCAACTAGTCAACAGCATATGAAAAATGTGCAAGCACTAGTAATCAAGGAAATGCACATTAAAACAATAATGAGATGCTATTATTCATCCATCAAATCAGGCTAAAGATTTTTTTTTGAAGCTAAAATCCTAGAGATTGGCAAGTATTCAGAAAAATGGTCCCTCTGAGAAACATAAATTGTTGGGAATATGAATGAAAAGACAGAATTATTCTTACCCATTTTCCCAAGACTCTCACTCCTGAAAATTATCTTAAAGAAGGAGGCATGAATGCCAATTTAATAATACATATTGGAGAATCACAGAGCAGACTGGCTCATTTACCCCCGTTGCAACTATCTGTCAATATAGACCTACATAATCAATCTTAATAGCTTCATAATACTGCATTGATGAATGTAGTAACTTATGTGTTCACTGCCATTCTTACAGACATTGAGGATGTTTCAAGATGTTACTTTTGTTTAAAAGCATTCCAAAAACATCCTATTAAATGTATATTTGTATGCATCTTCAATTTTTTTTAAGATTAATTCTTAGGTGTAGAATTACTGAGTCAAAATGTACCCATTTAAATTTAAGTACAGTTTTTAAAAGTCGTAACAATTTATTCCTTCCAGCATTCTAGAGGTGCCATTTATTTTTCACACTCTTCCTTCGAAGAATGTTAACAATCCTTTCCAGCATTATCATTCTTATTGGCAAAAATTAATATCTCATAGCTTTATTTGGTAACTTTTTTTGGACATAGTGAAGCATAAATTTGCCCATTTTTCTATTTGTTATTTTTCCCATTTTAAAACAATCTTGTTATATCAAGAATATTATTTTTTTCTACCTATACATTGCAAATAGGTTCTCCAAATATAGACACCTTTAAACTTTCCTTATGTTGATTTTTTTCCAGTATAAAAATGCTTAATTTCTACATAGTTATATCTTTAAATTTTTCCTTTATGGTTTCTATACGTGGTGTAATTTTGAGAAAGTCCTTCCCACTTGGCATAAATAATAGAAATATTCATTATATTCACATTTAAAAATATCTTATTAAGAAAAATTTCAGGTATACATAAAAAAATGAAAAGAATAACACATAGACTGATCCCAGGGTCCAGAGTTGGCAAACATTGGCAACTCTTGCTTTTTTTTATCCCTGCTTCTATTTTAACAGTTCTTCTTTACTGAGGTATTTTGAAGCAAATTCCTGACATTATATCATCCCTATGTCATTCACAGTTCATATCTAAAAATAATTTTCTTACAAATCCACAATGACATTTTCACAGCTAACAAAATTAACAAGTTTTGGTATCATTTATCTCAACCATAATCAAATTTACCAAGTTGACTAAAAAAGTGTCTTTTTATAGCTGTTGGTTTGAATCAGTATCTAAGCAAGTCCCACACGCTACTTTGGATTTCATGTATCTTAGATCTCTTTTAACCTAAGAAAGTCCTACTCTTTTATTTTTCTGTTTACTATTGAATTGTGGCAGAGACCAGCTTGATGATCCTATAAAAATGTTTCCATTGAGAAGACCCCATCATCTCAGCCCAAAATCTCCTTAAACTGATAAGCAACCTCAGCAAAGTCTCAGGATAGAAAAATCAATGTACAGAAATCACAAGCATTTCTATACACCAATAATAGACTAGCTGAGGGCCAAATCAAGAGCAAACTGCCATTCACAATTGCTACAAAGAAAATAAAACACCTAGGGATACAACTAACAAAGGATGTGTAGGACCTCTTCAAGGAGAACTACAAACCACTGCTCAAGGAAATAAGACAGGACACAAACAGATGGAAAAACATTCTATGCTCATGGTTAGGAAGAACCAATATCATGAAAATGGCCATACTGCCCAAAGAAATTTATAGATTCAGCACTATCCCCATCAAGCTACCTATGACCCTCTTCACACAACTAGAAAAAACAACCTTCAACTTCATATGGAACCAAAAGGCAGCCCACATAGCCAAGACAATCCTAAACAAAAAGAACAAAGCTGGAGGCATCATGCTGCCTGACTTCAAACTGTTACAAGGTTACAGTAATCAAAACAGCATGGTACTGGTACCAAAACAGAGATATAGACCAAGGGAACAGAACAGAGGCCTTGGAGTCAACGCCACACATCTACAACCATCTGATCTTTGACAAACCTGACAAAAGCTAGCAATGGTGAAAGGATTTCCTGTTTAATAAACGGTGTTGGGAAAACTGGCTAGCCATGTGCAGAAAGCAGAAACTGGACCCCTTCCTGACACCTTACACTAAAATTAAGACCAGGTGGATTAAAGACTTAAACATAAGACCTAACACCATAAAAACCCTAGAAGAAAACCTAGGCAAAACCATTCAGGACAATGAGAACACATGGACACAGGGAGGGGAACATCACACACTGGGGTCTGTTGGGGGTGGCTAGGGGAGGGACAGTGGGGGTTGGGGACGTTGGGAAGGGATAACATGGGGAGAAATGCCAGATATAGGTGACGGGGGAGATAGAGGCAGCAAACCACATTGCCATGTATGTACCTATACAGATCCTGCATGATCTGCACATGTACCCCAGAACCTAAAGTATAATAAAAAATAAAAGTAAACCATTACAAATAAAAATATATATATACAGTAAGAGGGAAAAAAAGTTTCCATTTTTCAGATGTAGCTGTCTACTTCCTTAGGGTGTCATTTAACTTATTCCTCCATTTTATAATTCTTATAAATAGAAGTTAACTCTAGAGGCTAAATTAGATTTGAGTGTAGCATGTGTGTGTGTATGTTTTACAAGAACACTTCATAGGTGTTACTGTGAGCTCCATATAGTCTCATATCTGAATCAGCCAGCATCTGATTGTCCCACTTAATGATGGTACGAAAGATCAAAGGATTGATTTAGTTTTTAAAGTAAATGTTAGTTTCAGAATAGTTTTATATTTATAGAAAAATTTCAAAGATAATACATAATTCCCATGTACAACCCATACCCATTTGTTTCCCATTATTAACGTCTTACATGAGTATGGTACATTTGTCACAATGAGCCAATGTTAGTTGTTACTAACTGAGGTCCATACTTTATTCATAATTCCTTAGCTTTTACCTAATGCCCATTTTAAATTGAGGGATTCTATCCAAAATACCATATTGCATTAGTTATCATGTTTTCTTAGATTCCTTTTGGCTATGACAGTTTCTCAGATATTCTTGGTTATTAACAGTTTTCAATATCTGAGTTTCTGTCTTGTATTTCTCCTGCTCCAGGCTTGTAATTAGTCATGTCTCAAAGTATCCTGGTTTCTTTAAGTAAGAGAATCATATTTAAAGACTACTAACTGGAGAGGTGTCCTCATTGCTGTTGCATTGTCATTGCATTTAAGCTTTTTCAGTAAACACACCTACAAAATACATGTTTTTTGGAGAAAAGCAAATCATACTGATATTTCCAAAGAAAAGTTAACCTTATAAAATTTTTACTCAAATATTTCACTTTACACTTTTTAGAGTAAAAATCCTAACTCTTAACATCATGGACATAATTACTTATTAGTATTATTTTACAATGTATAAAAAGCAATCTCAATGCCAATATCATTACTGATAATTAGACTACTAAGTGGAATTTAGGGTTTCTTGGCAATTTTTTTCCTTTGAAATATATGCCAGTAAATATGCATAATCAAATTACTTTATTCTAAACTCACTTGAAAGAATGCTTCTCTCTCTGATATAAACATTGGCATATTTATTTCCATTTTCATGGATTTTTTATTAGATTTATTTTATGATTATGCAAAACATGTTTCCAAAGCCATTTACAAAATATATATGTGTAATTATTTTTTAAATGCCCTTTTTAGAAACAAAGGTTTTAAATTATTTTCCTAATATATGTCGTTTAATTGCTTTGATGATTATATTGGATTTTTAGCTTTTATATGAGTTTATCAGTTAGTTCCTAATATGTCAGATCAACTAACTTTATTTGCTACTCCAGTTATGGTCTGATATACCTGCAGGTATGTTTCCAGACCAATGACAAATATACAAATTTTTAAATACAAATATTTAACATAGAAATTTTAATATACAAATTTTTTTAAAAAACAAAAAATATATAGAACAAATTAATGTACTATATAGTAGCATAATTATGGCAACAAGAATTTTGAAAAAAGTTAGAACGTTACTTTTTAAGGTTATCATTGGTATATATAAACGTTAATTTATTTTAGTAAGTAACTTACCTAGTTGGAAACAGAGCAATTAAACGATACTTAAATTTTTTCCTGTAAGGCCTAAATTGACATTGTTAATCAAGGAGATAGAGTCAGCTTTGAAAAATCAAGGAATCATTATGTCTAATGAACTGAAATAAAAATTCTTGTTGTTCAACAGTAACTTTTCCTAAACTCAAATCTATTTTTATAAACTAATATAAATAATGTTTATATTACAATTCTAACTGCTTTTCATTTTGATAGTTGGTAGGCTAAACCTTCCTTATAGCTTTAGAAATAAAATGAAGGCTCAACTGGATTTGTAAGAATAAAACATGTTTTTTCTAATAGTCCTAAAATGAAATAGATTAGTTACCAAGTGTTTATTGCGCCAATGTACATTGTAATTTACCAGAGAAAAATACATAATTTTCTTGGTCTTGCCAAAGAAGTTCCCTTGAAAGAAATCTCTTTCCAATAAGTAAAACCTCCAAATTACCAGGAAAAAAAATAAAATAAAATTATTTTTTTAAATTTTATTTTAATTTTAAGACAGATTCTCACTGTCACCCAGGCTGGAGTGCAGTGGTGCACTCAGCTCACTGCAACCTCCATCTCCTGGGTTTCAACAATTCTCATGCCTCAGCCTCCTGAGTAGCTGGGACTACAGGTGTGTGCCACCATGTCCAGCTGATTTTTGTATTTCTTTTTTTCAGTAGAGGCAGAGTTTCCCCATGTTGGCCAGGCTGGTCTTGAACTCCTGACCTCAAGTGATCTGCCCACCTCGGCCTCCCAAAGTTCTGGGATTACAGGCATGAGTCACTGCACTCAGGCAATTTTTAATATTTTTATTTAAATATATATATAATTAAGGATATTCTATCTACTTATTTATAGTTAAAAGATATGATATAAAAATAAAGAATTTCAAAATAGTCTCATTTCCCTCCCTGTTCCTTAACTCTATTCCTTCCCTCTTCTCATAGAAAACCATTTTAATTTGGCTCTGTTTTAACAATCCAGTGTTTCTTTTGGCTAACATAAACACATGCAGAGTTATGAGCATGTTGCTTATGTATATTTGCATATACACAGAGAGAATGTATTCCTTTCTAATAGCAATAATAACAATGGTATAATTTTAAAACTTTTATATATTGTAGGATAATACGTCATTATCATAATATAAGAAATAAAGAACTTTAGTGTAAAATAAAAGAGATAAAAGATAAGAGTGTAAAATAGAGTGATGTCAACCAAGTGGTAGAGCAAGAAGCCCCAGATCCTTCTTCCTCCCACAGAAACACCAATTCTACAATAACACACAGACCAATTCCCTTTATGAGAAATCCAGAAAACAGTTAAGAGACTCTTGCACCTCGGGTGAACACAAAACCAACTACATCCAAGCAAGTAGGAAAATCTATGGCACTCTCTCAGGGTACTTGCTCCCCCTGGCCAAAATGTTGTACATTTGTGAGAAAACTCCCAGCTCCCAGCTGTTCCTTTGGGAGAGAAGGAGAAGACTGGATGGTACATGCAATATTCTGCTCAAGAGATCAGCTTCTGTCTTGCCATTCTTGGAGGCTAACAGGACCCAGCATCCTCTACACAACCGAGGACCACTGAGTACAGAAGGTCTGGGCGGCATGCTGCTGCTCCATGGGATCCGCAACAGGTGGAAGTTGATACAGGTTGGTCGCTTCTTCCTCAAAAGGAAAGAGAAGAGTGGAATATGAATCCAGCATTCTGGCATTTTCCAGGGCTGCCCAAGGAACTGGTTTCCATCTCTCCTTCTCAGAGGTCACACACGAGACCTGGAATACTCTAGAGGCCTGCGGGCGACTGAGAACAAAGAAATTGCCAGGCAGTGGGCTGGTGCCCCAGAAGATCTGTGGTACAGCAGACAAACACCAGAGGGAGCAAGAGATTACAAGCAACCAGTAAACCCTCGAATTCAGAATCTAAACGTGCAAGTCCAGGGAAGATGTATCCACAGAAAAGACTTGCGAGTCTCCCAGCACCTCTAGCCAGGCTGATTGGTGAATGTCTTCTCTCATACAAGGCTAGTCTGTAAAAGCTGGGAGAGGTGAAAGTCTTTAAAAATATGTGGATGCCAAAACAAAGTTATAATAAACATGAAGAAATGAAGAAATGGCCCAATAAAAGGAACAAAATACATTTCCAAAAACTGAGCTTGAAAAGGAAGCCTATTACACTGCAAAAGAGTAAAAAAAAAAGCCCGAGGAACTTAGGGGGTACTGTCAAGAGGATCAATACTCATACTATGGGATGCCTAGAAAAAGAGAGAGAAAGTGGCAGAAAGTTTATTTAAAGTAACGACCAAAAACATCCCAAATCTGGGGAAGGAAATAGACATCCAGATTCAAGAAACCCAATAGGCACCAAATAAGATAGATATTAAGAAATCTACACTGAGACACATTATAATCAAACTGTCAAAAGTCCAAAGACAGAATTTTGAAAGCAGAAAAAAAAAAAAAATAGGCTCATCACATACAAGGGAACTTCATAAGAAGGTCAGTGGATTTTTTTTTTAAGTAGAAACCTCCAGGCCAGAAGAGAATAAGAAGATATATTCAATGTACTGAAAGAAAAAAGCAGCTTCCAACCATGAATACTGTATCTGGCAAAGAACCCTCCTCTAAAAATGAGGAAGAAGAAGACTTTCCCAGAAAAGCAAGAGCAAGGGAGATCATCATCACTAGACCTACCTTATAAGAAGTGCTCAGTTTAGTCCATCGAGGTGAAATAAGATGATCAAAGAAGGACAAATACTGCATGAATACATTTATATGAGGCATCTAAAGTGATTAAACTCAATGAAGCAGAAAGTAGAATGGTAGTTGCCAGGGCCTGGGGGAAAGGGGAAGTGGAAAGTTGCTGTTTAATAAGCATAGACTTTCAATTATGGAAGACAAAAATTTCTAGAAATCTGCTGTGCAATAATGGGCTTATAGTAAACGACACTGCTGCTCACTTTTAAAAGCTGCTAAGAGGGCAGATTTCATGTTACGTTCTTATTTAAAAAGTGTCAAATAAAGAGTACAAATTCTTTAATGTTAAATTTACATGGGAAATGTCAATATGAATTCATGATAGTTTTTATTTTTCAGAAATACACATTTCCTTGCCCTGTTCATTAAAAATATCTAAAAACAATGAAAATCTATATGCTCTATATACCATCCCACTACTTGCTTTTTTCACTTAATACATGCAAGAGATCATTCTATCTCAGCCTATGGATGTTTTATTGTGTTATAATTTATATACCAAAAGTTTTACCCACTTTAAGTATACAATTGGATGATTTTCAGTAAATTTACTAAGTTGTACAATCTTAATCCAATTTTAGGGCATTTTCATCACCCAATAAGTCTCTCATTCCCTTTCACAATTAATCCATTTTGCCATCCCCAGTCCCAC